TCAGAATGACTGCACTGCAATGGTTCTTTCATCTTGTTGATTTCTTATCTTTCTCAATCCCGCCTTGGCTATGATCCAGGGCATATAACCTGTCCGGATTACATTACATTACATTGCATTTAGCTGACGCTTTTATCCAAAGCGACTTACAATAAGTGCGTTCGACCAACAAAGTACAAACTTGAAGAAAACAGAATCATATAAGTACATCAGGTTTCATAGAGCTAAAACATTTCAAGTGCTACTCAACTGGCTTTAGATAAGCCAGTCCTTTATTAGTATACAAGTGCTTTGTTAATAGTTCTATCGCTCGAAGTGGAGTCGAAAGAGATGAGTTTTCAGTCTGCGCCGGAAGATGTGTAAGCTTTCTGCTGTCCTGAGTTCAATGGGGAGCTCATTCCACCATTTTGGAGCCAGGATAGCAAACCCACGTGTTTTTGCTGATGGGAACTTGGGTCCCCCTCGCAGTGCGGGTGCAGCGAGCTGTCTGGCTGATGCAGAGCGGAGTGCACGTGCTGGGGTGTACAGTTTAATCATGTCCTGGATGTAGGAAGGGCCAGATCCATTCGCCGCATGGTACGCAAGTACCATTTTTTAAAAGTGGATTCTATCATTTACCGGAAGCCAGTGAAGTGTACTAATGCGGTAAAGGACACGTCCTCACCATCAGCTTCAAAGCACACTTCAGGTACTTATACTTAAAACCAATGATTCATTTCATCGTCAAATAATCTATTGCTTGTATTGATGATAATTAATGTTATCGTCCAATAATAAAAAATAAAAAAAGCCCAAGTTTTTAAAATGTTGTCTGTTCAAACTGCAAAGATTAATTTAACAAAGAAATAACAGCTAAAAAAGTGTAAGTTAACTGATTAAAACATTTTGTACAGCTCCTAAAATATAAGGATATGCTGCCTCAACACTTTATTTAAAACCTTTCCCTCAGTTACTGCTTACAGTGAAATTGTGTGATGAGAATTTTTGTATATATTCAGATTTATTTCTTTTAACCTTTTTTTCGGGGACATCGGTGTCTTTATTGTAAACGGGGAGACATGGGGGAAGACATGAGATAAAAGGTCCCAGGCGGGATTCGAACCCCTCGTCGAATCCTCCGCTTCGGGATCAAGCTCTACTCGATGGTAGAGAGCTACAGCCCTAATTCGGATTTATTTTTTAAATGTATTGTTTAATGGAGAAAATTATTGGTAAAATAATCAACAATGAAAATCATAATTTAAAAAATACTTCACATGCTGAATGCTAACCCATATTATGCTGGCATTGTTGCTGATAACAAAATGTATGCTTTTATTTTTTACATGGATCAACTAATTGATTTAAACTATTAATAATTTAGCTATAAACATACACATTTTAAGTACAGTATATATTTGATTTAATAAATGAATGTTATTGCATGACAAACCCAGCACAAATGTTATATTTAGTTTGTTACCACGACAACATGTGAAAGACTGCCTCACCACTTTATTTAAAACCTTTTCCACAGTTACTGCCAGGCAGGAAACGTGTGTAGAGAATCAACCAAATTACTCCTCGCACCATATTCCTCCTTACTCTCCTTTTCTTTCATCCAATTTTTCTTTTAGCTGAAGCCCCCCCCGACCTCACACTTTAACCCAGACTCTGTTGCTTTTTGAATTTAATGAACACAAGGAAAAACTTTGGGGACGTGTAAAGTGGTGTCTGCCTCAGTGAGCTATAATAATAACGGTCAAGGTGAACTGGATGTCTCCTCTCTGTAGTCTCTCCTTCTGTCTGTCTGGATCTGCTCCAAGGATGCATATTCATTAGGTGGACTAAACTGACAATTACAGATGATAAAGTCCTTGTCCTTGTTTTTTTAATTCACTATAAGCTCATGTTCTTGGAATTCATTTCTTCTTTAAGACACTATAGAAGCACACAATTGTAAATCTTAGCTAACATGCCGTATTGTTTTTTAACACTGCCATAATCAAGATTTTGACATTCTCAAATATTTTACAATTTCTTTTAGTAGTCTGACAAATACAAAATATGTTTGTCAACCTTAGTAAAATGGGCTGAAATTTAAATTAAAAAAATGCTATCTTTTTGTAAGAAGGGATTTGCAAATTGTAACAATTGGACCCACTGCCCTTTTCTGCTTTATCTCCCTTGAGCAAGCCTTTACCTGCATGTTGAATTACTGCTGGAGCTTTTAATGTAGCCACAACCATCCACTCACAAGTCAGCTATGTCTTTCATTTGTAAGTCTCTTGCCTTGAAAAGCAGATAATAATAAATAAAAACAATAGTCCACCTATACTAAAATCTGAACAATGAAAGAGGCCGCCAGCCAACAACCCAGAGTTAGTTTCCTGCCCCACACCCAACCCTTCCAGCACTTCATGCTGACTCCAGCCTTCTGCAGCTCTCCTGAGGGGGGATTTGCCACTCTTGTAATTTTGCATTGCAGCATCACGGGCTCCTTGTTTAATTTGCCGGCTGCCGGCTGCAGACTCTTTAAAGCACACGGGCACGGCTCTGTGCTTTAGATCAAACCGCGGCCGACTGACACCTTGATCACTAAAGTGTGAGGACTGCTGACTCGTGTAAACAAAGTTGTAGTAAAAGAAGTAAAAGCAACGTTTACATGGATTCAGCTTGGAAGTGTTCCCGTCCTCCTTATAAGAATGTTTCCACTGAGCTATTGAACATAGTTGTTGACAAGGACACTGTCAATGTCAATCTGAATATTTGACACTTTTGTGTTTTATTTGCATCATGTAACCCTCACGCCTCAATTGGCTAGCGCTCCAACACATTGTACATCTAGGGCTAAGGGCCGGGACCTCTCTAAGTGGCTGACCAATCACAACAGATCCGGTCAGCTAACCAATCGGAGCAGACTGGGCTCTGGTTTCAGACAGAGGGTGAAAAGAGGTGCTGCAGCACAGGCAGTATGAGAAAAATAAAGAGCTTTTTGAAAACATGTCACAGTATAGGCACAAAATACAATTATGAAACCTGAGAATTAGCATAAAAGGGCCCCTTTAAAGTCTCCAAATAATGGTCTAGGCTGTGAGAGTAAACGCTAGTGGAAGGATTACATTTCTTACCTCAAATTGAACTGAAATAAGGAGAAAATGCTGCCTTAATCTATTCTCATAGCTATATCAACCGGAGATCTACAGGGTTTCCTATCAAACTAAATTATAAATGTATGTTATTGTTGCCTCTTCTTGCTAAGAAAATAAAAACTCAGCGTTAACATTTGACCCTTTTCCATCACTTGTCATGGTTGTTTTCTGTAAAGCGCTTTAGGTAGACTTGTTTGGCTTGATTCAACTGGAACTAAAGTTGCCTTTCTCTCTCCCTTTGCCCCCCCCCCCAGACAAGGCTACTACGGTACGTCGGGTCCACCCGCTCCTGTCAAAGCCCTCACAGACCTGAAGCTCCACCTGGCCAACGCCTCTCACCCCGCGTCCTCATCCTCCTCCTCCGACATGGTAGTCATCCACCCGGGCGCCGTGCTGGCCATCCTGGACCTGCTGCCCTCCGTCTGCTCAGAAAGCCAGCCGGAGGTGAGGAAACACGAGAAGGAAATGTGCTAACATGCATTTCCTGTTGAAGGGGATGAAGGGTCACGTGCAGGGCAGGAAGTCATAACTCCCCAAGTCCTTACTGCTTTCTGTTCTAAAGTGTGTTTCTCTTTTATTCATTTCATTGCATCTTTTTGTTTTTAACTGAGTTTAGCAAAAAACAAGAAGGAAAACAAAAAACACAATACAAACCAAAACACTACGAAACACCGGAGCAACTAAAACCGGACACAAAGGAAAACCAAACAGACAAAAACGTTATAATAATAAATAAATAACTGTAATCATTACGAAAAAGAAATTAAAGAAATAAAAAAAAATCAGTCAGCTTGTCGAAAACTGTGTCATTAAAAACAAGAGACCCTCTTATAACAAATGTACATTTTATTGAATATTGTGGTTTTTTTTCAACTCTGTATGTTTGTTTGTTTGCCTGTATGACATTGTTTTTTTGTCTTTGAGTACATAGAAGCGCTATATAAATGAAATATATTTTGATAATTATCACAATAATTTTTTCCTTTGTTGGATGGAGTGATTCATACATATTATAACAGTTTTTGCCGTGTATTATAAAAACTAAAATAATATTACCCTTCACCTCTTGGAGATTGAATTGCAAAATGATAAGGTGAACCAAATGCCTAAAAGAACCAAGGAGATTTCAAATTAAAATGACAAATTAAAGATTGTAATAATTCAAATGAAAGGGTCAGGGTTATATAGGGTGTTATATAATGGTATAATCATCTTTGTGTCTGCCCTCCAGCACGCCCTGGACCTGCAGCTGGCGGTGGCCAACATCCTGCAGCTCCTGGTAAACAGTGAGAGGAACCAGCAGGTTCTGTGTGAAGCCAGCCTCCACCAGCGGCTGCTGCAGCGCTGCAGCCAGGCCCTGGGCGACGAGGACCACCCGCTGCACCCCCCGCTGCAGAGGATGTTTGAGAGGCTGGCTTCTCAGGCCCTGCAGCCGATGGCACTCAGGTACTGATATTGTAACCTCTGTCACGCGGGCTACTACACCCATAACCTCAACAATAATTTGGAGCCAATCCTGAGATTGTTCCTATTACCGTTTAAAACTATTGTTAACTTGGGGGTTTTCATTTTCCTGTAGGGAGTGCATGTATTAATCTGTTAAAATCCCAAAGTTAGGAGGTGTGGGAGGTTCTCTAAAATGTTTTTTAAGACTCAAAGCAGTTTAGGATTCAATATATTCAATATGTCAGCTTTCCAAATGTACTCGAAAATATATGGTTCAAATGTTTACCTCAAGAATACAACAGTGAGATTTTGTAACAACTGATGTAAATATAGCTTTGTTTATTTACAATAAAACAAGAGCCTCAAATGTAATGCCCGACAGAAGAGGGATGACAGGTCATTTGTAAAGAGGGAGATGAACCAAAAAGTCCACAAGCAAATTGTGACATCACCCCACTAATTTTCTAATGTCTACATGTCCACTAACATAATTATAGTTATTATTATAGTTATAATTATAATATTTAGCATCGTGCGAGCAAGTTAGCATGTCACCTTATTATGGTTTAAATAAGTCCTACGGCTCAACATAGGGGTGAGTCTCTTGCTGTTTTGGAAGCGTAATCTTCTTTGACAGGTTTCAGTGAGTGATAGAGGGCTATGTATGCTAAATAAATGGAGCAACTCTCATTTCCCGCTTGACTGGTTAAGTGAGCTGGAGTTTGGGGTTGAGGAACTGGGGGGAAGCTAATTGACATGCACATGGTTGCCTCTTTTTATATGTAAATCCCCCGCTTCGCCGTCATTGTGCTGGAGGTAAACATATCTGTAGCTGTCAATCTGTCTCCCTCCCTCCTCTCCTCTGCTCCCACTCTATCTGTCTGCCTCACTCTTGTGCTGTCAGTCACTTTCCTTTCAAAATTCCTCCCTCCTCCTTCCTGTTTTCCCCTGGTTCCTAGCTTCGCTCCATAGTCTTCCTGTTACTCTGGTTCTCTTCTGAAGCTGTCTGGTGTCGCTCACTCACTGGGACTTCTTGCCTTCATGTCACTTACTGTACATGCCAATCAACCTTATCATTGACTTTAAATAGACCAAAGCATGCTGTTCACCACAACTGTTAACAAGCAAAAGTCCACCTGCATATTACCGGCTGATCTTACATAATTCATACAATTGGATGGACACTGTTATACAGAGTGCTTTTTTGAGTTTCATGAGAAAAAGGAGTAATTTTGCCAATAACAGCCTTATACCTTAATAAAAGCAAATATTGTAAAATTAGCATAATATAGTGATGAATAAAAACAATTCTACAACCAAAGTCCTATAGCTTGCACATGCAATTAGTTTCAATCCATGCTGTTTCTACGCTTAACAGTGAGTGTTATCAAGAACATCAAAGTATAGAAAGAAACATGTCTCAGTAAACGCCCAAAGTACAGTGAGGAACCTGAAAATTAGCGTAATAGGACCAATTTTATTATGTTTAATTCAATCTATTCAAAGTTGGTTCAGCATCAAGAAAAAAGTCAGTAAGAGTTTTATCAAATTGTCTTTTGATTCTAACTGAAGTTTTTTCTATTCTTTCTTGGTGTATTCTTACTCCTGACATCTTGGTCTTCTTCCCCTCACAGGGAGTTCTTGCGCCTTGGGAACCCTCTGAACTGCGGCGCCTGGGACAAGAAGCTTCTGAAGCAGTACCGGGTTCACAAACCGAGCTCTCTCAGCTACGACGCCGAGATGAGAAGTAAGACCTTAACAGCTTTATCCTGCTTTTGATCACATGATAGTTACTATGCTAGGGGATTCGGAAGAAATACTATACCTGGTTTTATTTATCGGATCTGTTAGGAAGAAAATAAGTGCCTACTTCAAGGAAGATTTCAAGGGTTCTATATTTTCGTTTCGTAAGATTATCATACCTAAAGTATTGCCTTTTCAAATTCATGTTGGCCCTATGTTGCAGCTAAACTACATGTGAGAGATAAATGTTGCTGTGAGAGATGGATGTTGTTGAGTAGAGTTGAACGTTTTATTTAAATATTTTTTGTTATAAGCTGTAAAAAGAAGTGAAATGTCAAGGTGGTGAACTTTCAAATTAATACATTTTTAATAAAAAGCTGTGTAAATGATGTACACAAAGGGGCTAAACAGCTGGTATCAAATGATTTATGCAGGTAGCAATGTCTTTTTTTGCAGATTATAACACGTTATTTGAATTCATGGGCATACATGAGGGCATACATAGGGCCAACATTAATTTGAAAAGGCAATACTTTAGGTATGATAATCTTACGAAACCAAATTACAGAACACTTTAAATCTTCCTTGAAGTAGACACTGCACTTATTTTCTTCCTAACAGATCCCCAGTCACCATCAATGGAACAGAGGTAGAAATTGATCACTACAAGTACCTGGGCGTCTATATAGACAATAAGCTGGACTGGACTAAAAACTCAGACGCAGTGTACAAGAAATGTCAGTCTTTTATATTTTCTAAGGAGACTCAGATCTTTCAATGTCTGCAGAACCATGCTGTGGATGTTTTATGACTCGGTGGTAGCAAGCGTCATATTGTACGCGGTAGTGTGCTGGGGCAGCAGGCTGAAGGCAGCTGACGCCAATAGGCTCAATAAGCTCATCAGGAAAGCTGGTTTGGTCCTGGGAGTAGAGCTTGAGCTTTTGCTAGAGGTGTCAGAGATGAGGATGCTGAGGAAACTACTCAGCATCATGGACAATAACTCACACCCCATGCATGCCACTCTGGACGCCTATCAGAGCACCTTCAGCAGTGGACTGCGAGTACCGAACAGCACCACAGAACGCCACAGGAGGTCTTTTCTTCCTATGGCCATCACACTTTATAACTCCTCCTCCTTCTGCAGGAAGGACAGTTCAATTATAACATAATGTGCAATATTAGGTTAATGTCATAATCTTGTAACATTTGCAGATTTAATATTTGACCTAATTTTATTTAGTATGTTTTTAGTATTTGAAATGTAGTATTTTACTTGAATGTGCAATATGACTTGTCACTGTCACAGGCTCCTACCTATTTTCTACTGGGGCACTGTAATACGTTACTCTAAAACTGTGTATAAAACTTTGTATATTGAGCTATTGTATATTGCATACTTTTATTAAGATGTATAGTATTATCTGTATTGTAATTTTGGAGCAACCTGGCAAAAATTATTTCCTTTGGGATTAACAAAGTTCTATCTAATCTAATCTACATGACAGCTCAAATAGCTGAGAATTGAGGAGTTTGCTCCATACAGTAGCAGTCTTATGGCACGTTTATGAAATGTTTTATGTCATCTGGGAGCCATTCCCATCTGCCAGAGCCATGGCAGCAGCTTCCTCCTGGGAGAAGCTTTAATTCTGTGCTAAACGTTTGGAAAATGGCCATCAATCTTGTAGCAATTCTGCAATTTTTCTTTGCTCTCTCTCACTTTCTCTGCGAGCTCATCGGGACGAGTCCTCCGGTGAATAGGCTGTGATTGAGCTTTCCTCCTGTTGAAACTACTAGCTTGGGCTTGCAGGTGGAAAGGCGACGATTCTTTAGGTTTTCAGAAAGCTTCAGCTTATAAAAGTCAGTGGAAAAGCTCATCTTTACCATGCACAACTCTCAATTATACCGTATTTTACCCGGGATTAATTTCCTCCACAGAGTTCAGAGCCTATAGAAAGAGCACCACTGTTAGAAATGGTAAACCCTCTCTATTAAAGGTGACAAACATTTCACGTAGTTCAAGTTTGACCCAAAGTTCCTCCAGTAATTCCAGCGCAGATTTTTACAATTCATTGCATGACAGTAAAATGGCAGAAAAAGCTTAGGAATTGGAAAAAAACTGGCACAATACTCATGTATTGCACTAGGGCTGTACCCGAATATCCGAATTTTCATTCGTTGGAGTACTATTCGGGTTTCGATTTTGTTATTTGTATTTATTTATTTTTTTCGTTTTTTTTTTAATTGAATTGATTGAAATCTCCAATATCAAGTGGACCTATCTTGCTATATTTGAAACATATATTGTAGGGCCATACCTATTTAAAACATGTCTGTGAAGTTTTTTTTTCAAAATACCAAACAGATCATGCATTGTAGCCATCCCTCATTTCACTCTATTTGCTCTTTTCCAGCCCTGTTTTTGCAAGGGCTGATTCTGCTTTTGTGGCAGACTACAGCGCCACTTATAGGCCTGGCATATGTACTACAGCGTCTCCAGCGCTTTCGAGCGGTCTCTCATTCCCCTGATATAGGCGCAGCACCCCTTTTCTGACGTCAGAAAAATTCAAATAATAATCAGCCCCGTTTTTAGAGTTTTGGGTATGGAGGAAAAGAGAGAGGGTTGCGTTTTCTGACACTTGGTGAGTTCACCTGGGACACATATTCATGTATAAAAGACGTACAAAAGTGCATTTTTTATGATAGGTCCCCTTTAAACAACAGTACTGTAGAATAACAAAATGAATGCCGCGAATAAAACCGAAATACACGTGTTGAAGTGGTACGCAGCTGATGACTATTGCTCATAGTGACAGCAGATTTGATCAGAAAGTTGTCTGACTTGATGCCAATAATTCATCTTACCAGTCTGTCATGCATTTCTTTATTACAACTGGCATAAACTGGTATTTATGTTTGATAACATGTATTAATCATTATTAATCACAGATTATTATTGTGTACAATAAACTACACAAGGTAGGGTTTCTGAAAAGACCTGTATTCATTTTTAAATAAACAGCAATTTGTAGGAAACCCATACTAGAATTCTTACTCTTTGATAAACATCCAATTGATGCATTTACTCTCTATTTAAACACAGATTGTCTTTCCACTGTGTCATCTAATGCAAATGGCTTGTTTTCTGTTACCAGCTGCTAATGTTTGTAATTTTGTGGCTTCCTCAGCATGTCCTAATTGCTTATTGTGTTCCCTTCCAGCTGAGAATAGATATTAAGTCCCGACTAATTAATGCCCTTTACAAACTGCCACCGTTAGAACACACAGCGCTATGTTTCTCTGTCTGTGAGACGATAATGTAGCACGCTTTGTTAGCTGCTATTGTGTTGCAGTGTTGATTAAATTTGCCTCTGTCAGATTGACTAACTTTTAAAAAAGGGAAGGAATCCATATTCTTGGTACGGGTTAAAATATTCTACTTAGAACCAGGAGATATTTTATTCACTTTGGGACAATCCAGCTGCTAGTCTAGAGGTCTCTTTTCCTCAAGTCAGACAGATCTAACATTTGTATTTCTATTTTATGGTATTTATACTATATAATCTGGATGTTGGATTCAACCAAAGCTGTCCTACCTTACTCCACAGACAGTATGACCATGTCCATGGAGGGCTTCGGTCCTGACAGCGTCTTCGCCACGCCGGCGGAGGACAACGGGCAGTACCGCATCAGCCGCAGCCTGGTGCGCTCTGCCGAGGGCAGCACCGTGCCGCTGACCCGGGTCAAGTGCCTGGTGTCCATGACAACGCCCCACGACATACGCCTGCACGGATCGGCTGTCACGCCTGCATTCGTGGAGTTTGACACCTCACTGGAGGGCTTCGGGTAAGTCAGCTTGAACATTAAGTGTTTACTTACCCTCCAAAAACAATCATTTGTTTTTGAGCCTTTTTCTGTCCAGGGGAAGGGAGAGGGAAAGCTCTGTACACTCCTGATTTTACCTGCTAGATTTTTTTACTCATCAAGCAGACACACAACAACATATTTTTGTTTCTGTTTCCCTAACAATTGAGACAAGGAAATCTCCTTTTAGCTCTGTTTTGGTCTCTTTTGCCCTTTAGCTGTATAATCCACTTTCTTCACCAGGTAGTCATTACAGCTGCCTTTTCCTGCTCGAGACCGTGCTAATGAGACTGTATTTGTGCTACAAAACTGAAACGATGACCTAAAAGAGGCTAAAAAAACATTCCTAAATCTGAGAAACGTAGGTAACTCCAGGAATGAACCAATCTTCATCATATGATTTTTAAAAAAACATGATGATTTCAGTCATCTTCAATCTCTTCTTTCTCCTTATGGATCCTCCCAGCTGACGCACACCCCAAGGTGTCACATGTTTTTCCCTGCAATTTAACAAGCTTTATTTATTCTTTATTTACCTCAGAGCGGAACCTGAAACGGTCTCAACAGGAGGCTTTTATTTGCCTCGAGTTGTGGAGCCACACTGCGCATACAGACAGGCTCATTTTCCGCCTTTTATTTCATCCAACACCCTTCGCTTCGCACACTTTCGCTGTCGGGCTTGACTTTGCTCCATGCTCCGTGTGTGCGCCAGCGGCACAGTGAATGTTGGGGTCAGTGGAAATGAAGGCGGTGTGGCATGTGACCTTGGCAATTCGCCCACACACCTTTAGCAACACATACATGACACATGCACACTGACACACAGACTACAACTGTTCAAACTATGATATGTTCTTCATTAATATTCAGAAGGAACCAGGTTTAAGGAAAAGCAGACCCCTTACTAAAGGTCGTTGTGGAGGTTTTCTGTCAGTTCGACAGCAAGATGCAAAAGGTCATTTCCAGTTATTACATGGCAAGAATTAATTATTAGATAGCATCAATTTATTATAATTAATTATAATTAATTTATTACAATTTATTATATTATATTTAATAATTATCTTTTAAATATTACCCTGTAAAATCTCTATGTATAAATCCAATTTCTTTAATTTGTTTTACTAAATGTCATTCCATCCATTTCGGCTCACAGTCCAAGCCCCTACTAACTGAGCCACTGCCTTAATGATAATTCATTAATGCCTTAACTTAATAATAGGCTTACTCCTAGCATAGACTGTATATAAACCTACACCATATGTTGGTTTCACGTCACATTATGCCAAATAAGTCAAGTAATATTAGGTAGTCATTTCTCCTCAACTCCATTGACTAGCTTCTCTGGGACACATCTCCCAGTCTTCATCAGTAAATGGATGATTGCCAAGCTCATCTCAGACCAAAGTTAAAAGCTCCAGAAAATCCACAGAGTGGTTTTTGAGCCTGTCGATATTATGCCCCCCCCCTCCATCCCTTGGCCGGGAAACACCTCCATTGGAGTCCTTTGTTTACTTCCGTAACAAAGTGACATCACTATGTAATACCTGCGCTTCTATTGGCTAGTGCTCCAACACATTGTACGTGATTGACTAAAGGGCGAGACAGCTTTAAGTGGTTGACCAATCACAACAGAGCCGGCCGTCGAACAACTCACAACAGACTGGGCTCTGGTTTCAGACAGAGGGTGAAAAGAGGTGCTGCAGCACAGGCAGTATGAGAAAAATAAAGAGCTTTTTGAACATTAAACATTAGCATGTCACAGTAGAGGCACAACATGCAGGTTAAAAATATGAACCTGAACCATATTTCCTGCTCCATCATTTGTCAGATTTCCTGTTTTCTTCTTTTTTTTACCCACAAGAACCCAGTTGACTCATCTCAGAATAGAACATGGAGTTTCTCCTGAAAACACAGCAGAGCAGCAGCACACTGGCAACCAGGCACTGGCCCACTTTCCCTCAGCATCAACAGAGGGTGCACACACACACACACACACACACACACACACACACACACACACACACACACACACACACACAAGCCCATACCCCTCCTTCTTCTCCCATCTGTCACCATGAAATATTGATGCCCCTGCTGCTATTAGGAATCGCACACAGGCACTCTCTCCTCTTACACACATGCACATATCCACTCTCCGTCATGCACAACATGCTTACACACACTCCAACACACCACGGCACACTCAGCCAGTCAGCCATCTCGCAAGGCCCCCCCCCCCCCNNNCATCCAGTTAGGGTGGAGGGGAAAAGACTCCTTTTTATGGGGGGACTGCATCTCATTCGGCCTGAAATCTTTTTTAAATTAGCATAGCAAGACAGTGAACGCCCCGGAGTGTTTTTGTTGCTCAAGGTGATGACTATTGGGAAACAAAAACAGCATACACATAGTCACTATGAAGCAGCAGCGTAGTATTATTGCTAGATTGACAGACAGAGCCTGTCCTTGAAAATTGTCCTTGAACGCATCATTGAATCCCGGCCAGCTTCACGGACGCTGTCCTGTAGTCAACCCTGACCTTAGACCTTCATGTCCAGGTGGGAGAACAAAGAAAGCCAAAAAAAACATAAGTGGATTATATCTAGGGCTGTACATTATATTTACATTTTATAATTGAATTACTTAGTCATTGCATAAAAATCATTTAATCCATAATCCATCTTTTATTACACGTCATTCATAGAGCTCCATTTTAGTTTCCCAAAAAACACTGATAATATAAATGTTTCTAATGCCCAGCTTTTGATTGCTTTAAATCTAGAGATTAAATGTTTTTAGTTACTGTACATGCTAATTGGTTTGGTAAAGATGCCACATACAGGGTAAAGCAGTCTGGAAGTATTGAGAGAGATACTAACACATTGTTGGTATTTTAGTTATTTATTATTTGCAAAATGTTGTACTTAAAGCTGTTGACATGCTATAATTACACGGCTTATTTGAATGCTCGATTCTGAGCGACAATTTTGACATTTCAGAGGTTGTTAATTCTCGCTAAGGAGGATCAAGGGACTACGTGCAGTCATATCAATCCGTGGAAAGATGTCTGGTAGATTTAGCATCAGCAAACATGTGTTTTCTCCATCAGAAAACACCATGGAACACTTTTTGAATGTTCATTTTTTTATTTGTGCAGAGCGCAAAACTCTGGATTCATAATGGCTAAACCGTCCTCAGTAAAGGAAAGAAAAAAGAGATCAAGGGAAGGAAAGAGGTTGAAAGATATGAAGGAAATTCTAATTCCCTTAAGAGAAACTGATAAATGATTAATGGAAAAAGTTTGTCTTTTGTTATATTTAATAAAGAAAGTCAATATACAATTGAAATCAATGCAGGAACAGAGCAACTTCATCCTCGGAGGATAAAATGGCTTTGCACCCAGAACACAGCTTACAGTCACACTATATTGTAAAAAGCAAATGGCCAACTGGTCCTACTCATAAATTCTCTTAGGCATTATCTAAACATCCCCACCATTAAACCATAAAACCCCCCAGTTCTTAACCATTTAGCAAATCCACCTTTTGCCCTTCCTTAAATGTAAATCCTAAACATATGTCTCTGTTAAACACATAAAGGACTAACAATACTATTCAACCAAGTAAAAGGCAATCGGAGTATAAGACATAATCTATATGATTTAAATGATTATAGGATAATTTGGCAGGAAGTGCCACCGTCATTTTAAGTTACGTTGCCTTCGCAGCAGTTGGTGCGCAGTGGAACAAGCAATTTTTTATTTGCAACAGCAATATGATCATGTTGAATATAATACAATTATTATAAATCAATATTGTGAATCAAGTCGTTGGTTCATTTAGTAGGTAGCTGTGTAATAAGTGGGATCATGTGCAGTGAACAAAGAACACTGTCATGGTGATCAGGTTCCCTTACATCATCTACCCACCCGTTATATGCTCCATGTCTGAGTTTTTGGCAAAAACAGGTATTTTGTCTGAGCTTAAGACTGGAGCCACACGAGAGCGGTAACGAACCAAATTCGATATCAAAAAAGTCTTCCGTCCACACGCAATAGGCACCAGAAACCTGTCCGTTCACACGAGACCGCTCGAAGGTGCTGGAGACGCTGTAGTACATATGCCGGGCCTGTATGTGACGCTGTACTTCTGCCCCAAAATACACCAAAAGCAGCGAAGAAGACTTCCTGCGCATGGTTGCCATGGTTGCCCTTCTGTTTATTCTCCGCTGTGGACGCTCTTTTTCTCCCTCCCAGAGGCAAGCGTGTGCTCCTGCTGTAAATCTCTCCGGTAGTCCACCAGCAGATGAAAAACACCCACCTCTCCGCCTCTTCCAAGGGACGAGGGGACCGTGCGGCAGAGTTTCCGCTAGAAGTTTTTTCTGACTGTCAACATGTCCGTTAAAGAGCAACTTGCAGGTTAGAGACACCAGTGAATAAATGTGTAGGAAAATGATGAATACACTAGATTTTCCAAAAAATATACATAAATATATACTACATTGACATCTGGCGTCGTTTTTGTAAGACATTTTTACTTCCGCATAAAAAAAGCTGTCTTGGAGTGACCGGCGTTAAGCTACAGTTAATGTCAGCTAACGTTGGTCACATCACAACATTGTAAAGTTAGCAATCATATATCAGTCAGGGCAGGAATTACACGAGGGCCACGAGGGCCATGGCCTTGTGCCCTTAAAAATGATATCTGCCATAAGGCCACAGTGGCCTTGATGCCCTCTCTGACTAAGTTTTGTGGTTTAGCAGTCTGCCTCTTTTCTGACACGGCTTCAACACCAGCATATTTTGAAGGAGGAAAAAAAAATCAGCGGTGCGCTTGATTTGAGCCTGGAATGCACCGCTCGGACGGTCTATGATGACAGTTGACATCAGTCTAGGACAGGGGTGGGGAACCTCCGGCCTCCGGGCCGTATACGGCCCGCGAGACCATTTGGTACGGCCCTCGAGGTAATTTATAAACACACGCAAAAAAGAAAAAAATTCAAGAAATCTAGACCGCAAAATAATTAAACAAGCTTGTTTTTCCTGGCCAAGGTCAGGGTCCTTGAAAACAACACGAGCCTAACGTGTCATCACGTGGTATATGTCTCGTCTGACAGGGGTGTAGTTCTGACGGAGAGCACCAGAACGTCGCTCCTGGCACTTCAGAAATTGCAGTACCCATAAGGAGCCGTACACATGCCGCAGTTTTTGCGTGGCTGTGTCTTTAGTTGAAAGCCCAGAGGCGATCTGTTCATCTGTCAAACTGATCATACAGTCAATAACGTTGTTGTTATTAGCATCTCGTTAGCTAGTTACGCTAACGAATATA